AGGCTGCAGTGTCCTGGCGGTGCTTTGGCGGCCAGGCTGGTGTGGTTTGGGCCTGTCCTGTGCATGCTCTGCCTCCCTGCTCCAGAGCCCAGGAGGGGCGGACAGGGACCTGGGAGAGGGCCCGGGGTCGTGCTGGTGTCTTCCCTGGGCGGCTGGCAGGGAGAGCGGCCGCAGGGCTGAGCACTCAACCTGTCTCAGGCTCCTCACCCCTCCTGGCCCCAGGCAGTGCTGTGTCACTCCCAGCTGGCAGGAGTGGATGCCAAGGGCTGAGGGCTTCAGGACTGGCCCCCCTGCTCTCCTCTCAGGACACCTGTGGGCCTGGATGGCTCCCCAGGGCGCCTTCTCTGTGGCCAGAGCACCAGGCCACGGCTCGCGCGGCCTGGTCTTTGGGATGCCTCTCTGAGGTGGTCTCCGTTGTTCCCTCCCAGGTGTGTCTCTGGCACCCTGGCCGTCCTGGGCAGTGGGGACGGTCACGTGACTGCATCTACAGGACAGGGGGCGGGACAGTCACACTGCGAGTCAAAGTGACCAGCGGCACAACCTTGGCGTCTGCACTTGCAGGCTGGCGTGGAGGCCTGAGTTCTTGTGTGGTGTGTTTTACACTGATTTGCACACGTCCTTACCGACGCAGAGGAGAAGGGGTGAAGCAGGGAGAGACCTTCCTCCAGGCAACCCCCCTCATCGTTTTGAGACGTGACCCTCTCCTGATTCGCCCCTCCCGCTGGGCTTCGGGGCAGCACCCTCCCCGCACGTCCTGTCCGGGGTCAGCATTAGGCCTGCAGGACTGTCCTTTCCAGCCACACGCTGCGAGGCGAAGGCCAGGAGCTCACAGGAGAGGCCTGCCCTGCCATGTGCAGAGCGCAGGGACCCGCGGAGCACAGCGGCTGCCGGCCTGCCCACCCCGGCCACCCCCATGACCTGCTGGGGGTTCTCCCAGGACAGCCCGTCACTGCAGTGGGGGCAGAGTCCAGCTAAGGGCCCAGGCCGAGCGCGTCAGGGGAAGGGTCCCGTCTACGTCCACTTGGGCACGAGGTGGCATAACGGGAAATGACAGCCCCGAGAGCCTGGGACTTGGTGAGACTTAACTCAGGCCTCGCCCACTGACGGGTCGGGCCTAGGGCTCTCTGAGCCCCCCTCGCGGCGGCTCTCATCTTGAGATGGATCCTGAGCAGGAGCTGGTCCCTCCCTGCCCGGAGCTCACGTTCTCATGGGGCAGGTGTGCTGTGGGCAGGGTCACTAGTTTCCATATTAGGTCACAGATAATCAGAGCTGGGGCCAGCAGGTGTGTGGTGGTTAAGGCACTGAGCTCCCACATGACCAACCACAGTTCCAGTCCCAGACACAGTGGTTTGAAATTCACACCGGGTGCATGTACGTGTGTGTCCAAAATCCTGAGACCAGAATGGAGGAGAACAGACTGCAGCGTAGCCATCCCCTGCTGGCAGCTGACTTCTCACTGTCCCTCTGTCCCTCTGTCTCCAGAGAGTGCACATGCCCTATGGTGGAATGTGTCCTATGGCTAAAAATAAAAATAAAATAAATGATGGATAAACCGGACCTTAGGGAGTAAAGCAGGACAAGGAGATGGGGGAACCGCAGGGAGGGCCTGCCTTTGCACACGGTGGCCAGCGTGGCCCTCTCTGCAGGGCGATGTTGGAGCAGCGGGTGCAAGGAGACGTGGCGGGCGTGCATCTCTGAGGGCAGCGTGTTCTGGGGACAGGGAGCCACCTGTGCACAGGCCCCGAGGGCAGAGGGCGCAGGCTCCTCACAGAGCAGCAGAGCCCAGCTGGCCGCGCCACTCCGCTGCAGGCACGCCTCCCTGCGCTGGACGAAGGCGGGAATTGCCTCCTCCCGACCCTGGCCCTTGCCCCCCTCCCCCCACGGGCCCGTGGGCTGTGTGAGAGTGCACCAGTACACCGTGGTGACAGGTGTGGGTCACAAGGCCCCTCAGCCAGTCCCCGCCTGCCCAGTGATAGGCAGCACCAGCCGTGGTCTCACTCCTATTTCCAGGGGTCAGCAGGGCCATCTGCTGCTGAGGCCTAGCTCTCTGCACCCCAGATCCCACAGCACCTCTCGGGGCAACAGCTCTGCTCCTGGAGGGTGGCCGGCCTGGCTGGGTGGGCAGGGGCCTTGGCCCGAGACATCTCATCACGGCCAGGGTAGCCCAACTGGCCATTCCCCGGTGGCTCAGGGCCGCAGGCGCTCAGGGGTGACCACCCAGGAGCACGTGTCCACGTTTGGGCTAGGCGTTAAGTCCCACACTGGCCATCGCTGGTCACAGCTCAGCCTACCCTACGTGGCACAGCCTGGCCTTACGTGTGGCTGTGAGGAGCCCTGAGCACACTGCCCCATCCCCGTCGGCCACCGGGAGGTCTAAGAGACACACCCTGTCCTGCACTGGGGCTGCCCATCCCCGGCGACATTTGGTATGTAGTCAGTTGTGGCAGATGTTGGGGACAGGATTTCCTGACGGAGTGGACAAGGAACACGAGAAGAGTCAAGGGGACTCTGAGGCTTGGGTCTTGTGCAGCTGGGACACAGGGGCCACTGCCCTAAGTGGGACCGGGACAGATTGCTGAGAGGCCAGGCTCACTGCGACCTGTGGCACTCCTGGGGTCCCTTGGACGTCCATGTGGGATGAATAGGCAGTGGAGGGGTGGGTCCTGCTGATATGAATCTCACCATGAAATATTTTTAAGATACATAAAGGGGCTTCAAAAGTTCACAAAAAAGGCAGAATTAAAACACAGCTTTGTTTGGGAGCAAATCTCTGAAGTCACATTTTCCGTGAACTTTGAGCGGCCCGTGTACGGACTGACGGGGTGAAGGTGGCCGCGAAGGCGTGCGGCGCAACTTCAGTGCGTCCTGCCTTCGCTCGCGTCCGCAGTGCCGCCTCCGTGACGGCACCGGGAGAGCGGTCCTGAGTGTAGGACACTGTGGGGACTCACTCTGGTGGCCCCGCGTCCCAGCTCCGTCCTTGGAGTGCTGAGCAGTCACCCCTGGGGGGGCGCACCGTTTGTGATTATTCATCCGGCAGACGGTGGCCGACTCGTGCCGTTTTGGGCTATTACAAGTGTCTATGGACAGTCATAGACAAGTTTTCGCGTGAACGTAAGTTTTCAAGAATTAAGAAGAAGGGGCCTGGCCCTGTAGCCGAGAGGCCAAGGGAGCTGACCACGGTTTGAAGCCAGGTCCCGGCAGCTTAAAAGCCATGGCCAGCCCCTGTGTGTGAGTGCCCAAGACCCTAACAGGATGGAGAGGTGGAGAAGGGGCCACGGCGTGACCACACCCCACTGGGGAGTGCGTTCTCCGGCCCTCTCCGTCTTTCTCTGGTGGCCACGTGGCCACTTATTAAAATAAATAAATAAATAAACGATTGGGGCTAGCAGGTGGCGGGTGGTTAAGGTGCTGGCCTCCCACGTAACTGACCCGAGTCCTGGACCCGGGGGCTCGACAATTACACCAGGCGCGGGTGCATGCGTCCCCACGTCCGGGGAGGACAGTGGAGGCGGGATTGCCATGCGGCCGTGCCCCTCTCTCCATAGCTCTCTGTCTTTGGCACGCACACACACGCTATGGCAAAAACGAATGAACAGACAAAAACGATTGCCGTCGCCTGAGGAGATGGCGCCGAGCTCCCAGGACACCACGGGAAAGGCGTGGGGGTGAGGGCTTGGAGCTGCCTGCCGGGCCTGCACCCACCCGGCCGCATGGCGCACCGTCTCCAGGGCCCGGGAGAGCAGACGGGGCCACCGCCTGAGGAAAGTTCCTGGTTTCCTTCGGAGTGGGCAGGATGGAATGCGTTGATTTCGAACATGTAACTGGCTATTTGAGAGCTGTGAGGGGTGAGGACGAGGCGTGTGGTTGCTGCTGTGCATGCAGTCGTGTACACCCTCCCTTTGGTAAAAAATGGTTTATCAATCCTATTTCTGTATAAAATACCTGGAGAAACCTAGCCAGGCCACACAACTGTCACCGCATGAAAAGGAGCTTCTCTCAGACTTCGAGTCTAACGCACAAGTGTTTCTGCACCGTCTCCAGTAATTGTCTGCTTTTCCATTTAATGGGCTATAAAAATCCTGCAAACCAAGAAAGGAAGCCGCCACATCCAGGACTAGAACCGCCATTGGCTCCAGTGCTTAAAGAACAAATCTACAAATCCCTGGTATTTCTCCTGTTACAGCGCAGAGTCAGGGAGGAGATGCGGGTGTGAGGGACAGGCCGTCCCAGCTGCGGTCGCCTGGAAGCGGGCGTCGAGGCGAGTGGGAGAGGGTCACGGTGTGATAGCTTTCACACCTCTGAGTTCGGAACTCTGCATACGCCACCTGTTGTTTTAAAATGAAATATTCTCTCCTTTTTCTTTCACGTTCCTACCGTGTTTTAGCTTATTGCTGTTGACTGGCCTTTTCTACATGTGACATGCGATTTTCCCCAGCTTGTCTTTACAAAAACCAAAATCACCTGCTTAGAGTGACTCTTCTCCATGCAGAACTTGCTATAACTAAGGAAGTTATAAAGTTATTCATTTTTCTATTATACCTCTGGACGCATTCCATACTTCCCCACTGGAATATTATGATAAATAAATTCCTATTTTTCTAGACATGTCTGAGTGCATATATGCATCTGTTCACAAGGAATATATAAACAAATGGAAATATATAATAAAATCCACATGGAATACATATTTAAACATTTTTATCTTTTTTGGAATTTACATTTAATCATTGTACATCTTTACAGCACACAATATTTTTATAACTTTTTAAATTTGTTTAAATTTAATCACGCATGTCAGCGGAGACACAGCTATCACTGTATTCTCATCAGCAAATAGCTTCTCTACATACGGTGTGCAAAGCATGCAGCTCACAGCTCCTAGCATCTCCCACAGAAAACTCGTGAGATTGCGTTATGGTCATTCAGTGTGACACATGCAGAGAATCTGTATTGTGATGTCTTAGAATCGAGTCACGATGCACACATACGTGAATGTGCCGTTGTAGTCACTTTCAAGTGTCCAGTTTCATGCCATTAAGGACAGTGGCAATGTGTGCGGCCTCACCACTGTCGTTCCAGAGCTTTCCCACCATCCAGAAGAAACCCCCAGGCACTGGGGCCATTGTTCCCCACCGGCCCCTGCTCCAGCCCCAGGGGGCTGCCATTCCACTTCCTGAAGCCGTCTGTGCTCTGGCTCTACTGCTCCCCTTGGCATCGCGTTCCGGCCCTCCGCGCTGGGGCAGGCCCGTGCACCCTCTTCACGGCTGACTGACGGTCGGCTGGGTGGGTTTCACGTTTTCTTCACCCTCTCACTGGCTGACGGGTCCTGCTGCTGTTTCCGCCTTCTGGCTGTTGCGAACAGTGCTGCTTTGCACAGTTGTGGACACTTTTTTCGATCAGACACCCCTTTTTAATTCTTGTGGGTCACGCTAGGAGCGGAATTGCTGGGTCGTACCATAGCTCTGTGATCAGCCTGCGGAGAAGTTGCCAGACTGGTGAAGCGGGAACTTCCAACCCCCCCGACCCCCGTCTCATGGCCTGGTTCTCCCCGCCGGTTCTCCAGTGACTGCTGTGTGCTTCCACTCCCTTTCGCTTGCTCATTTGTCTTCTGCTCTTTCTGGGGAGCCCCTCCAACTCTTCCCCCGCCCTCCAAACTAGCAAAACAGAAAGAAACCCACGTGTCAGTCCTTAGGGCTGTCCCCGTCAAGTCCAGACAGAAGCCATCCCTCGAGACCAGCTCTAGTCCGACCTCTGGGACAGGAAGGTGGGCTGCGTCATCAAGCCACCTTGGCGGGCCGGGCTGCACCAGGGCTCCCAGCGCCTTCCCTGGCCAAGCGCACTGGTGGTGCATCTCTGATCATCTCCCGGAGTTCCATAAGGCTGGTTTGATGGATTTGGGCTTTTATTTTTTGGTGTTTCTGGAGAGAAACAGACCCCAGAGTCTCCTGCTCTGCCATTTTGCAATATGTTCTTGCTGTCAAAAATGTATTTATTTATGTGAGAGACAGTCAGGGAATCTGAGAGACAGACACCCCTAATGCATTAATTTATGCAAGAGACAGTCAGAGAGTCTGAGAGACAGACACCCCTCATGTATTTATTTATGTGAGAGACAGTCAGAGAGTCTGAGAGACAGACACCCCTAATGGGCCTCATGCTACAGCCACCCCCAGCCTCGGCTGGCCTGGGTCTCGGGCGTGTGCACGCTCCCTGTGTGCTCAGGCAGGTCCCGAGACCTTTCCCGTGAGAGCCCAGTTGTCCCCCTGCCATGCCTCCCCTGACCCCTTGCTGTGTATGTTTCTGAAAACTCAAGTAAGTTCTGTCCTGTATCCCTAGACTAAAGCACCTCAGGTTTCTTCAAGGGCTTTTCTTCGTGATGAGCCTTCAGTGAAGTGACACAGGCCTGGACACACCAGTAGTTACCTCCTAGAAGGTACTCCGTGAGGTCAGGTGCAGCGGCTGAAACGTGCCAGGGTTCCGATGTGTCTGGCTGTCCTCACGGTGGCTCTGGTCGTCAAGTCCCGGACCCTTCACGGTCTCTATCCTTCTCAGTCAGTCCCACTCTGTGTGAGGTTACTCCTCTACTCATGTTTCTCGTCTGGCTGTTCACCTACATGAAGATTTTAAAAAGGCTTGGAAATGAGGCCAGCAGGTGGCGTGGTAGGTAAGGAGCTGGACTCCCACATGGCTGACTGCGGTTCAAGTCTTGGGCTCAGTGGCTTGAAAATCGTGCCTGGCAAGTGTGCTTAAAATCCCAAGAGGAGCACGGACTGTGATGTGGTGATTTTTCACTTCCCCTCTGTCCATCTCTCTTCAGTGTATTCATTTCCTATGGCAAAAACCTAAAACAAAACAAAACAACGAACTTGGAAAAACGTCAGTAAAAAGGAAGACTTGCCTTATGGGATGCTGAGATGAACCACAGCCCGTGACGTTTAAAACAGTTGGCAAAGGAGCACCACGCACGGGCGGGCACAGAGGGACGCACACGCTCCGCTGCCGTAGCCGCCTCGCCGCGGCTGGTCTGTGTGTCCTGTGTGCTGCACCGTTATTTCAGCATGTGCTCCTTCCACTTGCAAAAGGACTTCCCTGTAAACCAGGAGGCCCTGTCGCATCGGCAGCAGCCACCTGCGCCTCACGGTCCCCGAGTCCCTCGGCGCCCTTTTCTCTCCTGCTTGTCGTCCTTCCAGGGGACACGACGTGGAGGTGAAGACCGTGGAGCTGGTGACCCTGGCCCCGGGAGGCCTGGGCCGATGATGTGCTTCAGTATGAGTTTTTAACAAAAGTGTTTAAAAAGTTAAAATAAAATTGAAAATAAGGAAAAAGCTTTAGAGAATAAATATAAAAAGACGAAATCTTTTGTATAACTGTAAAGTGTATTTGTGTTTTAGGCTAAGTGTTATAAAAAAGTCAAAAAGTTAAAAGAATTAAAAAGTTTATGAACTATAAAAGTTAGAGTAAGCTAAGGTTAATTTATTACTAAGGAAAGGAAATTTTTTTTTTAGAGGCTTTTTGCTATAGGCACGTGCGCTCACCAGAGAGATAGAAAGCTAGAAATCACCCCCCAGGGGGATGGCCATGCCACAGTCCCTTCTCCTCCACTGTCCTCCCAGGACTCTGGCACGCACACACACGTGCTCAGTGTGAGGTTTAAGCTCCCGGGTCTGGGACTTGAACTGTGGTGGACTATGTGGGAGTCCAGCCACATAATCAGCATGCCATCTGCTGGCCCCAGGAAATGAAAATGTAAAAAATGAATTTCGAGCAGCCTAAGCACATAGCGTCTATAAAGTCTACAGCGTGGACAATGATGCCCAGAGGCCTCACAATCACTCCTTATCCACTCGGTGCCTCACCCTGAGCAACTTCCGTCCTGCGAGCTCCACGCATGCCGTGCCCTGCCCAGGGGCACCATTTTATCTTTGTGCCGCACTTTACTGACCCTCTTTCTCTGCGTAGCATGTTTAGATCCAACTTGGCTGCGGGTGCGTGCGTCGCCCTGGGTGCAGAGCGTGCATCCAGGCCGCGGGCCAGGCCATCGCTGGCGCATCATCTCCATCTGTGTTCGTGCGCGCTGTGGCCCACACCCATGGCATTGCCTACGGATGTCTTTCTCAGAACGTTAAGTGATGCATGAGTTCATCGCAAGAAGACTGGCAAGGCGGAGGGAAGAAAGCAGACCCAATAGGGAGCTCAGGACAGGAGAAAGAGCATGGTCAGGAATTCCTTGGGCTGTCTTTGGGCCCCATGTATCCTAGCCGGGAGGCAAAGAAGCCAGAAAACTGGAAACACCAGCAGGCTCTGACCAAAAGCCCCCAAAGAGGTGTGCTCTCTTCAGCCAAAGGGTCATAAAGGGCAGCAAGACAGAAAGCATTGCGGCGATATGCCTCTAATCTGACCGAGTGTCTCAGAACAGTCACAGCCGCCCCCACCACCACCCGTGCAGCCAGGGCTGGGCCGAGAGCTGGGCGGCGATATGCCTCTAATCCAACCGAGTGTCTCAGAACAGTCACAGCCGCCCCCACCACCACCCGTGCAGCCAGGGCTGGGCCGAGAGCTGGGCGGCGATATGCCTCTAATCCAACCGAGTGTCTCAGAACAGTCACAGCCGCCCCCACCACCACCCGTGCAGCCAGGGCTGGGCAGAGAGCTGGGCTGTAAGGAAGCATCTCCACGTGCTGCCTGGCCAGTGTCAGAAAAGGCCAAGGAGGGAGCTGGACCTTCATCCCACAGGCAGGAGTCCCTGCCTCCCCTGTGGAGATCTGTGGACAGCAAGGAGTTCCATTCCCACCAAGAAGGTATGGGGTCCCCCACTCTGCAGGTTGGCATGGCATAGTGGAGAAGCCTAGTGGAGAGAGAGGGCATTTCACCATAGCCCAGGAACACTAAGGTCCTCCGTCCCCTGCACCGTCTGTGAGACCACATGGGGAGCAGATCCTAACCGTGCCCAGCCTCCCTCAGTGTCAGCAGAGGTGGGCTGAGGAACAAGGACTTCTCCCACTCAGCAGTAATGAGCTCACATGCTGCCCTTTCCTCTGCTGCTGTGCCAACAAGAAATCCAGCTAAATCATAAGCTTTAAATAAGATCCAGTTTAATAATATGAACATGTCTCCCGAAACGTGAAACACTGAACATGAAAGTCACTCACCATTTTAAGAACCAGGAAGATCTCAAATGAGGAACAAAAGGCAATCAATATCCGCGGCAGCAAAGACAGAGATCTCGGGGTTATCTGAAACGTTTGAAAGCAGCCATAATACAACTGCCTCCATAAACATTTGAAAGACTTGAAACAAGTGAAAACTACAGTCTCAGCAAAGAAATGAAGGAGAACCAAATGAAAACTTTGGAACGTAAAAATAAAATGAATAGAATAATACAGTGGGAAAGAGAGCAGCAGAAAGGAAGAAGAGTAACCAAAAATTGGGACCAGCAGTAATGGCTATGTCGCTGGACTCCCATGTAGTTGATCGCGGTTCGAGTCCCGAACCCGGTGGCTTATACTCACACCAGGCGTGTGTGCGTGCATGCCCAAGATCCCGAGAGGAGAATGGAGGAGAAGGGATTGCAGCATGGCCATCCCCCCTGGGGGGTGATTTCTCGCTTTCTGTCTCTCTGTCTCTCTCTGTCTGTCTGGCGAGCGCACGCGCCCTATAGCAAAAACCTCTCCAAAAAAAGAAAAAAAAAATTAAAAAGAACTTTAGGGGCCTGTGGAACCACAGCAAAAAATGAAATGTTGTTGTTGTCAGAGTCCTGAAAGGGTGGCACGGGTGATGGGGCACATGCGTGGTACTGGAACCACGCGGAGGCCTGGGTCTGGGCCCTGGGTTGACTTGAGCACAGCAGCCTAGCCACACGAGTCTGAGACTGTGGCTGACGAGGCTGCCGAGGGAGGATCGCAGTGTGGCAAGACCCTATCAAAGGTACCCCTACTCAGGTAGATGAATAAACAGAGAGGAGAAAGACGGTAGGGTTTTAAAAAAAGGACGCACATGCGTAATCACTGAGACCTTTCCAAACTTGGCAAGAGATAAACCTACAGAAATGGAGAGAATCTCAAGTAGCAAACACCTGAGATACACCATAATTACATTTCTGAACAGTACAGATAAAGACAAAATACTGAAATCAGTCCAAGACATCCTAAAAAGCTATACCTACAGAGAAAACAACTTGAGTGGTAATTTTTCACCAGAATCCATGGGAGCCAGAAGGAAGTAGCATGATAGTGTTCAAGTGTTTAAGGAAAGAATTGTCAAAGCAGTGACAATTCTCTTCGGGAATGAGGGAAAGTCAGATATTCTCAAATAAAGGGAAACTAAGAATACTTGTCATCAACTAACCTACCCTAAAAATGGCCAGGCCGATCACAAAGGTACAGGAGTAAGGTAACACCTGCTAGTGATGCGGCCACGTGGGAAGGCCCTGGGTTCACATTCTGAGATCCCCCTGTGCACACTGGTCATGCACACACAAGCCTGTGATTCTGGCTGGCTGAGGCTGAAGGCAGGATCATGGCGTGAGAATGTAGGGATGTCTCTCTCTCTCTCTCTCTCTGACACCCCCTCTCATATAAATAAATAAACTGAAAACAAGAATAGCTAAAATAAGTTCTCTGAACATAATGGGAAGGATAAGAGAAGGAATCTCAGAACATCAAGAAAAAAGAAAAAACACAGTAAACAAAGATAAAAGTTTTCTTTCCTTTTGAGTTTTCTAAATTATGTCTGAAGACTGCAGAAAAACATTTATGGCAATTCTGAATGTGAGAGTGTAAAGGGACACAGTGGGAGGTCAGATTTCTGTAGCTTTACTAGTTAAACTAGTAAAATGATGGTTGTCCTAAGTTATGTGTAATACTGTAATCCCTACCGCAACCCCTTCAAAAGTTACACAAAAAGAAACAATCAAAACAATATAAATAAATAAAAACAGAATTTTTAAAATGTTCAAATAACAGTTGAAAGTAGAGATGGGGGAAACAGAAAAAAAAGTGAAATGATAGACTCAGGCTCTAACATATCAATGATTACATTAAATATAAATGGTCTAAATATACCAATTAAAAACAAGATTGGCAGAGTAGATATTAAAATATGTCTAAATATATGCTATCAAAAAGACACTAGCTTCAAATATAATTACATAGGTAGATTGAAAGTAAAAGAATGATGAAACTATTAATGAAAAGAAATGAGAAATGGCTATATTAGTATCAGATAGAATATATTCATATCAGATAAATAAGGAGAAGGATATTATATGAATAGAAAATGATTGCTCTATCAAGAAGATGGAGTCATAAAATATGTAAAGAAACAGAGATGAAGGGGAAAAAAAATAGGTAAACCCACAATTATAGTTGGAGTCTTCAACACCCGTCTCTCAATAGTTGATAACACAAATAGAAAGTCAACCATGAAGCAGAAGAACTCAGTAACACCACTAACCGACAGGATCTAACTGACATTTATAGATCATTCCATCCAACAACAGCAGAGTACATATTCCTTTACAGTGTCCACAGAACATATTAGTCACATCCTGGCCCATAAGCAAACCCTAATCAAGTACAAGAATTGAAATGATACTGAATGTGTTCCCTGACC